CGGTGCGGGAAGTTGAGGAGAACTAAGTGATATACTGTGTATATAAACATATACATATATATGTATATGTTTATATATCAGAAGAAGAACATATATACATATATGTATATATGTTTATATATATACATATATACATATATGTGTATGTTTATATATATGTATATACATATAAACATATATATACGTATATATATGTATATATATATAAACATATATATATGTATATACATATAAACATATGTATATACATATATGTATATATAGATATAAACATATACATGTATATATGTATATACATATAAACATATATGTATACATATATATGTATATACATATAAACATATATATACATATATATCTACACATATACACATTTATATGCATATATGTGTATTTACATACACACATATATACGTATATATATATACATACATATACATACACATATATACATATATAAATACATAAATATACACATATATATACATACACACATATATACGTATATATATATACATACATATACATACACATATATACATATATACATACATATATAAATACATAAATATACACATATATATACATACACACATATATACGTATATATATATACATACATATACATACACATATATACATATATAAATACATAAATATACACATATATATACACATATATATATACTGTTTCATACACGGTAATCGTAATTTTTTTAATCGTAATCGTAATTTTTCACTCCGACAGCCACTAGGGGGCGCTCTAGGCGTGTCTGCGCGTGTATGTACCAGTATCAGAGAAGAGAGAAAAGATAAATAAATTAAAAAAAAGACATTTTTTTTTTTTTTTTTTTCTTACGACGTCGCGACCCGACTCACCACGTGCGTCCGACTGTTGCTGTAGAAGTAGGCCAGACGGTACAGACTCTTGTAGTGCTGCGGGAAGCGGCCCAGACATCGGAACAAGGCGCGGACGCACAGCTCCACCAGCATCCGACGCTGGTCGGCGCGGTCCGCGGGCAGCGCCTCGGGGATCTCCGTCGCCTCCGGGGGGAGCTCCGCTTTCCTGCTGCCCTCGCCGACCGGTGTCGGAGGAG